CGCAAGCCAACGTCTCCATAAACCTCCAGACAGGTCAGAGCGAAAGGTCACGAAAAGGTCATTGACCTTTAAATGACCTTCACCCTGGTGACGTTTTATTAAATATTGATCACCTATCAATTGCTGAAACAAACATAGATGAAAATACACAAACAAACAAACAAACAAATAAACGTACGAACGAATGAACGAATGGAAGAACGAATGAAGAACGATCACACAAACAGAGAACCAATTAGACAAACCACCAAACAAACAAACAGATGAACCGCCAAACAAGCGAACAAGCAAATAAACAAACAAACAAACCGACAAACAAGAATGGAAACAGAGTGACAGACATTAACCTATTCCTACTTTATCACTATCTCTTCTATATTCCTTCACAGTCATCACTCAGTCGTCCATCACACCTTGGTGTTTTTGCAATTTTAATTAATCTTGCTGGCGAATGTGGACCTCAGAAAAAAACATGAGTAGAATGAAACTGAAGCAAGGAAAAGAATAAAAGAAAAGAATCTGGAAAAAGAAAGAGAGAGAGAGAAAAAAAGAAAGAGAGATAAACAGAAAGAGAGATAATGAGAAAGAAAGAGAAAGAAACGAAAAAATATAAAAATTAAGAAAACAAAGGAGTAAAAGAGAGGAACAAATGAAGAGAGAGAGAGAGAAAAAGAGAAAGAGAGAAAAAGAGAAAAAATGAAAGGAAGAGACAAGACAAAAATTAAAAAAGAAAATGGAAAAGACTTTCCATACAAAATTTGTAGACATAAAAACTGCTTGTAGTAAACAAATATTTAAAAATAATAGATTTAAAAATATTAAAAATACAAAAAAAAACAAAAATGAAAACAAAATGAGAGAATAAAACTAAAGTGGAAAAAACATGCGGCTGAAAAATGAGAAACTGAAAAAAATAAATCAAAAAAACAAAGAAGGGACGCTTCACAGAGAACAAAACTAAAAAAAATTAAAAAAAATTTGATGAAAGTGCGAGAAAAAACCCAGAAAAAAGTTTTAAATAGAATTTTAGAAATTTACAATCAGAAAGAAAAGAAGGAAAGAAAGAGAGAGTGAGAGAGAGAGAAAAAAAAGAGAGGAAGAGAAAGGAAGGCATTAAAAGACAAAAATAAGAAAAACAGACGAGAGAGAGACAGACGAGAGAGAGAGAGAGAAAGAAAGAGCAAAAGTAAATGACAAAAAAAAGAAACCATGATGGAGAGGGAGAGAGAAAGAAAGAGAGAGAGAGAGAGAGAGAGAGAGAGAAAAGTAGAAAGAAAAAGGAAAAAGAAAGAAAGATAGACAAAGAAAAAGGCTAGATAGAGAGAAAAATCTTGAAGAAAAAAGAGATAGGCAGATTGGCAAAGAAGGAGAGAATGACAAAACAAATAAATGGAAATAAAAACC